ACTTCTGAATAGAAATAGAGATTCGACAGAGTAAATTTGAAAGTTCAACTTTTCTTTACTGCTTAAAGTTAACCCTTAAACCAGCAGGTCAACCGCTTGATGGAGCATATTTCACATTTTATTAACTGAAAATAAATGAGAAAACAAAAATACTGAACAACTAAATTCTAAAATAAAAAATACAAGAAATATGAATAAAAAGGTAAAAAAGTGCTTTATTCTTGATGTGGAAGACAAATGGTTAAATTGATATATTTATTGAGGACAAAGAGCAAGAAAATAAATTCACTGGTCATTTAAAGAGCAAAAAAGTAGGGTTTACATCAGAAAACCGTTTTGTGTTTGTTTCTAGTTGTTTTTTCAAATTCAATTCAAATTCAAATTCAAAAATACTTTATTAATCCCAGAGGGAAATTGATTGCTGTAGTAGCTCAGAATAATAATAATAATCAAGTCATCAAAGAGTTATTGTATATTACAACGGCTGTTGGCAGGAAGGATCTCCAGTAGTGGTCAGTGTTGCAGCCAAACTGAAGAAGCCTCTGACTGAAGACACTCTTCCGTTGTCGGACAGTCTTGTGAAGAGAATGCTCAGGGTTGTCCATAATTTTCTTCATTCTCTGGAGAATCCTTTAAATTATCTCCTCCAGCGGTTCTGAAACTGCCGATACTCTGGCTGAGTCCTTGAAAGTGCTTGGAGTTCCTCCATCTTGTTGGCCATTATGATCGATGGAAGAGATGGTTTGAATTTCCTCTTTCTCCGTCTCCGTTTTGCTCCCGCTCTGCACCCACGCTTCTTGCGTTTTAGCTCAATTGGGATTTGTGGCTTCAGTTGTGGTATTATTTTAGCCTTCCCAATGTAAATCAGCTGCTTCAGATTGTAAACCAGCTTGTTGCCATGGTTACGCATCATAACAAATGCTCAAAAAGTGAAAAAAGCTACAAAATAGCAGTAAAAATCCTCCAAGCTTCACAGCACCAGAAACAGACAAGTAAAGTGTCCAAAAAATACAGTATTTCTTGAGAAACTAGAAGAAAAAATGCCCAAGAAAAGGTAAAACTTACATATAGTCAGCTGAGCTGAGCTTAATCAATTTCCCTCTGGGATTAATAAAGTATTTTTGAATTTTGAATTGAATTTGAGCTACTCCAACATGCAGCCGCCCAGGGCAGCGCAGTTCTGGAAAAAAAAAATGCATGCTGATTCATGCTGGTCATTTTCTAAACTTCAGCAAAGAATAAATGAAAAAAAATGCATGTAAGGTAAATATTACACACTATGCATAACATGGCCACCTATGGTTTATGATCTGCAGTTGCTGCAGATCCACAAATATATCGTATCATATCATGTTAACCCTATATATGTTTATAGCTGGGGTCAAACCCTATAAACACCATACAACAATAAAACCATTCAATTATACAATAATAATAATAATAATTTAAAAGTAATTATAATGCAAATGATTTACTTTTCATTTCCAAGCAGGTCTAGTTCTGATCAATAAGATTCTTATATTTATAACTAATATCTACTGAATGAATTTTAGATATTTTCATTTACACCAGTTGGAAACTGAACACTGACCAATGAGACCAATCATTTAAATCGCCTCATGCAGAGCAAAGCTCAGTCTGATCTCCTTCCGCTTCCGGCTAGGTGAACAGCGTCACCGCAGCAGCGTGTCTTCGGTTGGTATTTGCATTTGACGCAAATCAGTCAGACTCTTAGTGGAGAAGCTGCCTTGACCAGCAGAGGTGGAACACCTGAACAAACTATGCAAAAGTCATGTCAGGAAGCCAATAAAAGCTGTAAAAGCAAGCCATGTTAATTTAATATTGTTTTAAATATCTTGTATGGTTACTATTATATGACAAGATATTTTTTTGTTGTTGTCACTTTTCATTAAAGCTGAATGATCAGGATCCCTCAGTCTCTCTGCTGAAAGCTTATATGCTCATGCTTATATTTCCCTATGCAAATAACTTTGCATCACTGAGACAGCAGTACTGGCTGTCGGAGACAAGGTTGTCCTGCCACGCTTGTGTCTCTTCCTGATTTTTTTTACATGCAACCAAGATGCAAAATAGGCTTTTTGCAGCAGACATGGGTGCAGCAGCTGAGGGTGCATTGCATTTGGTCTACTGAATGAGATGGCTGAAATGATGCATTTTCAATATGGGGCACTTTTGTTAGAAATCACACGTGTTTTTAAACGTTTTAAAGCAAGGTGTTGACTGAAAAACTTCACCAGGTGAGTTAATCTCCAGTGAAAAGACACCACATGGTTTCTGGGTGTCATCGGGCCGTAATTAACCAGCTTCCCACGTAGTTCACCCATCTGCTGTGGTGAGTCCCTCTACATATGGGTTGCATGTTCTTATAGGAAATGTAATGACCACCTTCTTAACAAATCTGCTGCAACAGGGGCTCAGTGGGCCCAAGACAACAGCAGGCTGAACACAATGAGGGTCAGGTGGGTGCTCACAAGCTGGAGGGGGGGGGCAGCATCTATTGAAGTGTTAAGCAAGGTGTGGCTGCTTTGCAGGGAGTTCACAGTTCAGGTCAATTACAGGTGGTTTTACATGCATTTAGGACGTAAAGAGACACAAAAGCACAAGCATGAGTTTCTGCTGCAATAACAGGATAGCTGGAGACAGACGGAGGGTAAAAACAGCCGTGTGCCCAGAGAGTTGAGCCGCACTCGGTGCACGTTGCATCAGAAACAGCCTGGGGGAGAACAGACACAAAGACAAACAAGGTGCTCGTCACATCGTGCAAACTGGATCATTTTCGCTGCTGATGTTATGATTTCTGAAATTTTATCTTTTTTTCACCGTGCAGAAAAGTCAGCTGGATTTCTGTTGTTGCCGTAAACATTTCAGGGGCGCCAGAATCAGCGAAACAGGGAGTTGATTCGATTCTTTACGGTGCAGGGAAACAGCAGGAATCCTTGTTAGCTAAACGCAGCTCAGAAGTAGGAGAGATGTGCTACTTTGTGTTTGGAAACTTGTTCACATTTCAGGGTGCACTGTAGCTGGAGGAGTTGGGGTGGAGTATCTGAGTATCTCGCTCCTCACATTCGTGAACATCGTTTAACATATTCCTAGAACTGATTAGGCATTCGATGAGCTCTGAGGGAAACTTCCTCAGAGGGATCCAGTTCTAAGGTTGTTTATAAGATGCACAAAGCAACAACATCCCTCTGAGACGATCTGCTGGGACACAGGTTTCCAACCCAACCAATTATCCATTATTTTCATTCGGTATCTGTAGAGGCAATTTTTTTAAATGTCAGCATAAAGGAAGGTTTTGAAACTCTGGTTTCTTTTCTCCATCACACCAGCTGCTTCTGCAGAAGCCTGATGATAAACCGTCCATTTAAATCAGGTGAGTTGGAGCAGGGAAACATCAAAAACATGCAGAGTAATGGTCACTCAGTTGTGGATGAGTAGTTTTGTAAAAACTTTCTTCACAACATATCTGAAGTTAGACCAAACTGATAACAGATTAAATTTTAATGAAGTATACTTAAAATCTTTTCGTTTCACCACCCAGTCGCCTGTTTACAGGTGTAAACCCCTCACCTGCACTGTTCACAAACAAAGATAAGGATTGACTATTTTGGTACATTTCAAATAAATTGAGAAACATTTTTTTGTGAACTTGTTTGAATATTTATTTAATAAATTTTTTGACTACACTTTGCTGGAGTTACAAGTTCTGCAAAAACGTTTTTTCTGTGTTATTGTTTTTTCCTCATGGTCTTGCAGCCACAATGTTAAGTTTTTTTTAATTATTATTATTATTATTTTTGTCATTTTAAACAGTTACATTTTTTTATTCACGGTTTTTACGGTAAAAAAGAGGTTAGCAGAATCAACATGTATGCCTGTAATCGACTGTGGAGACATCTTGTTCATGAATGCCCCTGTGCACTGTTTCAGCATGTTGGACAGTGTGTGTCATGCGCTTTATAACAAACTGCTGGCCTTTTACCCATCACTCTTTGTTTTATTCAAAAGTATTCAAACACAGGAAGAAGAGATGATATGTATTTTTTCTGTTTGTGGTATTTTTTTAAAAATTATGTATGTTTTCTTTGTTTGAAATGAACTAAACTAAACTAAAAGTGAATTGGTCTTCATTGCGGGGATGTCGACTCGTGCATTGGTGTGTTTTTATTCATAAAGCTGTATGTGGATATTTGCCTTTTTATTTATCACGTCTTTTATCAAGAAAGCGGAATCAGCTCAGCCTCCGCTCAAGTGAACTTTTGTAATTTGTTGTTCCTAAGGTTCGCAGAGCTGGGAAAGACGGCTTTTAGCTTTGCTGCTCCATCTACATGGAATTCACTACAGAAAGATCTAAAAATCAAGGATTTGGTTTCCTTGAGTGGATTTAAGACTCTGATTAGGTCAGTGGAATCCAGACTATCAGTGTGTTCATGTTTTAATTGAGTTTATGTGGAAATGTATTTAAATGTGAACGTATTAATGTTGTAACTTGTGCTGCTGCTCTGTCTGTCTTGGTCAGGTCTCCCTTGCAAAAGAGATCTTGTATCTCAATGGGACCAACCTGGTAAAAAAAAAAAAAAAAAAATTCATATCTAAAAACAACAAAGATAAAAAGTGAGACTGATTTTAGTTTGGGCAGACTACAATCACAGGAGTGTAAATGTCACTTTTTCCTAAACACATCAGTCTTAACTCTAACTATGAAGAAAGTTTTGTGATCGCATGTTTAAATTATACCAGATGCATTATTAAAGATGAAAGAAAACCTGCTGAAGACTGTTTTTGGAATAAAATAGACGTAATAATCCCACGGTGGGGGAATTCACTCTATTTCAATATAACCATCTTTGCCTCAAATGGGAACAAAGAGCAAAATACCTGACCCCCCCCACCACCCCCCCCCCCACCACCACCACCACCACCACCACCACCCCCCACCCCCCTTCTTTTTGTCTCTGTGCGGAGTTTAAAGTGTTCAAGACGTGATCAGGCCTGATTCATAGGTTTGGGTGGGGAACTGAGATCAGAATTTAATTTAAAATGTATATTTTCTAAAGAAAATCATGAACTAACGTGATGATGCCTCAACCAGCAGCAAAAGAGTAAAAAAAATCTCTCTTTTTTTGTTCTTTGTGGGTCAGAAATAGAAAAATGAAGATTTAAATCACCTGTTAGTCAGTTAATGTGAAAGTTATTTATAAATTGTTTTTTAAACTGTGTGAGGAAACTGAAGAACCAGCAGAAAACCCAACGCAGATAAGGGGTTTACTTCCTGTTTATGGGAATATGTGGGAAATGTGAACTTCCTGGAAAATAACCATGCTACCAGGATTAAAGCATCAGCTCATGTATAAACTCAACATTTCCACCTGCATGTATTTTTCAACAGCACCATATTCAGCAAAACAGGAAGTGATTCTTGTGGAGGATCTGAGCATGCTCCTTGCATTTGTGGACATCATCTTCCTGGAACTGGTTAGCAGTTATTGTTGGCTCCTCTCACATTCGCTAGGTTGTTTTCCTCTGCTCTCTGTGAGCTCTTATGCTGACTTCCTCAGAGGGACGCCTTTTTTAAGGTTGTTTATAAAATGCACAAAGCAACACCATCCCTTTGAGACAATCTGGTAGAGCGCAGGATTATTCATTACTTTCATTCCGTTTCTGTAGAACTGAAAACTTAAATGTCCAATCTCTCCTGCACGTTTTAGCTGTTTTTGCTCCAACACACCTGGTTCAAATGGTTAAACTACCTCATCAACAGGTCAGGTTCTGCAGAAGCATGTTAATGAACCATTCATTTGAATCAGGTGAGTTGGAGCAGAGAAACATCATAAACATGCAGCATATAAATTAAAACATTTTGTCTGTGAGACAAACCCCTTAAATAAAATTTCAATAAAATATTGTGCACTTGTTAAAGATTGAATATGGAACAATTTAATAAATAACTTTATTTTTTTAATAATACCTCCACGGGCATTTAGAGGTGTGCAGAATGAAGGTGCAGTATTTTCTTTAAAAGTTATGTTTTAAATAAAATATATAACATATAATCAAATATTTATTTTGACAGGCACAGCACTGGATTTATGTTTACATCTACCAGCCAGTAGAGGGCACCATTGGAGGTTGCCAAACAGCCCGTTCAGCACAGCGAGGCTGGCCCTGTGGAAAATGGCGGACTCGGCGAGTCAAGCAGCTGCGAGTTCAGAAGACGTCGTTATTCTTCCCGGAAGAGGAGCGACCATAAAAGATCTAAAACCAGGGTGAGTTTGGAGGAAGCCTGAAGGTTGGTTTATGCTTGACGCGTCCGCGAGGTCCGCACAGCTCCGCGCGGAAAAGTTGCGTCATTTTGCGTCATTTTAACAACCACGCCCCACCATCGCGCCTCCGCACGGCCCAAAATTTCCACAGCGCGCACCTAGGAAAATTTCTAACCATGCGGACGGTCGGACGCAGAAAAACATGGCAGACCGGCAAGAACTAGTATGGCAGAGGCTCGTAAATACAGACATTTGTATGATTCAGCTCTCAGAGATCACCGTGATCAACATGTTGTTAATAATTCTTGGAGAGAAATAACTCGCACTGTCGGAAAAGACGAGGACGCTGTTAAAAATGCTGAAATGCCATGTTGTAAACAGTAATTTCTACTTCTACTATGGTGTAGTGTTGGATGCATGCCGTAGAGCTCCATGCTGCCCCGTTCAGTTTGGGAGAATATTGGCTCACCGCAGAGATGAGCCGCACGAACCATAAACGCTGTGAGTTGTGAAGCACGTTCCATCCGCGAGCCGCATCACCAAGCGGAAAGTGAATGCGTCAAGCATAAACCAAGCTTAACAGATGGACCCAAATTAAAAAGGTCACATACTGGCAGCGAACCTGGTATACCGACGGCTGGAAACCTTGTTCTGTTGTTGCAACTACAACCTCCACACACTAGATGTCGCTTTGGTGTTCGTGTCTCGTATTCCACCTTTAAGGTCAGTTATTCAGCAGACATTAACTTTTGGTCTGCCTTTATTTCATCACCCATATATCTACAGACTGGATCTAAATTTAAAAAAAAAACAGCTAATCTGTGAGCTGTTAACAGGTAGAAACTCCTCAGCTGCACTTTGGTATTCACAAATAAATACTCAGATGCAGGCAGCCAATGAAAGCAATATCTATTTTAAACTGACGGCCATATTGTATTACAAAAAGAAGCATTTAAAGAAGCAGCGAGGTTTAATCTTCTCCTTTTTGTTACAAGAGTGATTAGAGCGTACAACTTATACTGCAGCCATCCACTAGAGGGCGTGTTTGTTGCATTTATTTTATGGCTAAAAACTGGAATTTGTGTAGAATGCATCCAAAATAAAGTCCCGGTAAACCAATAAACCAGCTCACGCTGTTTCTGTCTACATTCACAGATTATTTTCTTTTTTTTCAACCACAAGGAAGAAAACAGAATAACCTCTACTGTAAATATCATCTGAGTAGACTACCACAACCTGCAGACACAAACGAACCTCGTCTGATCTGTCTTCCAGAGAGGTTGTTGCACAAGAAAACTGACAGCAGCATAACCTGTTTTTTCACCGTAACTGGCCCGCAAAGCCAACATGTAGTGGGTGTCTGAGCCGACCAGTAAAACCTGCCACAAAAAAAAAATTACTGGAATGAGACAAGTCAACGAATTATTTCCTAGGTTCCTCATGGCTGAAAATTCATCATGACTGCCGCTCAGCTCAACGTCTCTGTTGAAGTTTGGTAAAACCTGTGATTTAGATGTTTCTACTTGAATGAGCTGGAACAAACCTGAGGTTGTGATGCTGTGACGGAGGTCCCTCTCACTAGAACAAGATACAGCAGAAACGTCTAGACGAGCTTTCTTGTTGCCATTTAGTTGGTTTTTAAGTCTGTTTAATAAAGCTTCATAAAGAACACAAAGGTAAGATCAGTGTGTGAACAGGTCACAATTACTGTAAAAAAACTGAAACGTTTTCTCATTTATTTTTCAAACCATAACACACCAAGAGAAGCTGAGCTAAACCGATCTTCTTGCTCTATGAACAACCTCAGTGTGGAGTAATGCAGATTCATTTTGATTGGGAGGAAGACCAAATGGATTGCCACAATTTAAAACAACCCAAAAATGCTTTAGTGGTTAATGTAAATGGCATTTTTGTAAAGTTTTACACCAGATTACACAGTTATCCCATTTGAAATATGATTAATATTCCAAATTAAAGGCTAGCGTTGTTGCTAATTTTTTCCAGACTTTCTTCTTCTTCTTCTTCTTCTTCTTCTTCTTCAAAATGACATTTCTGGCTTTTTACAGTTGGACAATAGAGTTTTCATGATTCATTTTAAATTAAACGACTTTAAACCTGATCCATGTGGGACGAGCTGTTAGTGCGCCTCAGTCTAAATTGGCTACGCTCCATTTTTGAAATATTCTCAGTATTTTAATTTGAATAAAATGGTCTAAATGTGACCAATTGATAAGTACAAAATACAATTTCTATCTTTTTAAGTGCAATAAGGCTTTGTCGCGACATAAACCAAACGAATGAGTGTGGGACGAAACATAAAGGCACATTGCAAATATTTTCTAAGAAACCTTCCAGCTTTTCTGAGAGCAGGTCTTGTGGACAGACAACAAAAGGAGCGCTTTTGGGGGGAATGTTGTGCATCACTTTGTTTATAGGTAACAAATGAAAGCCCATAAAGACAAAAAACACAGTATTTATAGAACAACATGGCAGATGATCTGTCATCATGAGCATGCTGTGGGGGGTGGGGGTCCATTAGCAGATTTAAACATCCCAAATAAGTGGAAAATCTGATCAGCAGGATTTTACTGATCTAAATAATCTGATAAAAGCTCCAGAATTATTTAGCTGCTTTCGAACTTTGTCACTTCCACTTCTTTGTCCTCAGGCTGAAAGAGTGGAGAGGAGGCTAAAGAGCATTTGGCAGAAGTGCCATAAATTGTGTAAGGGCGCCACCTGCAGGACCCCTGGAAATAGATCGTTACATTTATTTCCTAAGAAATAAAGTTGACTTCCAGTGAAAAGAATAAATATGAAAGTACATTTATTAAATAATTAATATACTAATATTATCATTATTACAAAATATGGTGTGCACAGTAGTTATACACCCATTCTGCCACTAGATGGCAGCCTCAGCCTTTTAGCTGCTTACAAACTTTATTGACGGAAATGCCCATAATAACGGGAACGACTGAGGTCCAAAACAAAACTACACAATTTTTTTTTTTTACTGAGAAGGACACAACGACACAAATGCACACAAACTGCAAGAAAATATAACTATTAAAGCAAATCTAAATAATTTTATTTTTTGCTTGAAATGATATAACAGTTGTATTTACCTGTTAGTTCTAATTACTGCCAAGTGCACTAAAAGTACAAAAGATTTAAAAAATTATTTATTAAAAAAGAAAATCCTCAATCTTCTATCAGAAACAAACCTCTAGACCTTCAATCTGTGATGTTTGGAAGCCAACGTCTAAATAAAAACATTACACAGGAAACAAGAGCTTTATAAACAGTTCAGTTTTTATTGCAAAATATTTTGTACAGAATAAAACTGAAAAAACCAACATAAGAGGAATGCACAGTAAGGCAAACATAAGAACTCCAAGAGTTGAACTGTACAAACACCAACGGTAATATTTGCTGCATTTTCTGTACATAAATTGTTTTCCACTCCCACAGCAAACTCCTTAAATGAGAAAAAATTAAATAAATAAAACCATCTTTCCATTGTGTCCTGAAATTATTGCCTTGACTGTAACTTTAAACACCAACAGACTATCCTTAAATACTGAAACTCCTGTGAGAAGAATGTTTTGGGAATGAGTGTAGCATCACATTCACGCGGGGAGCGCCACTCCAGAAGCTAGAGCTAGCTCAGTGTATGGAACAAATCCTGCAGAACCTGAATGAAACCAAATGCACGGTTTGCTTTCTGACTCTACATCCCACTGCTGAAATCACGGACCCCTGGCGTGTACTTGGAGGGGTTAGGAATAGTGGTTTACGAAAGTCCGGACGTGCACATACCCATGCACATCCTCATGCGATTTGGCACCGATTTAAAAGTTCTGCTCTCAAAAGTAAACCACATCTTGGTTCTTCTAGCTCTTTCTTTATATATATATATATATATATATATATATATATATATATATATATATATATATATATATATATATATATATATATATATATATATATATATATATATATATATATATATACGGTATAATCTTTATATATATATATATAACCTTATATATATGTATATATGTGTGTGTGTGTGTGTGTGTGTGTGTGTGTGTGTGTTTTTTTTTATCATTTTTTGTTTACATAAAAAAGCCCCCCCCTCCAACATTCAACGTACATCTTTAACATTGGCTTCCCCAAAATTTGGGATCAAATGAAGACATGAAACCCCTCCCATCTTTTACATATAAACTTAAATTAAAATAGATATGATTTTTTTGTGTGATTTTCGTAAGCCCTTCAAGAAAACACACCAACACGTAAAGACGACGGACAGTCCAAGGCGAGAAAGGAGGGGTTTCTTCTGAAATACTTGACCTGTATAGTAGAGGTGGAACTCAGACGTTGTTTTTCTGCCCTTCTGATTCCACATCTTACATCACATCTGGTAAAAAATAAAAATAAAAACACAAAAAAATATATATATATATCCTCTTTTAAAGGGAGAATCTGAAGCAGCCCGGCGTAGTTCTTTTAATAACACAATCAGAAATAAAGCTAGCAAGCTTTTCTTGGAGGTTTTGAGAACATTTTTATCCCTGCAGAGGATGTTTGTTAAGTAGGATGACTCAAACTTAGATGGATTTCCATGAAAAAGTTAATCAGCGATTTAATCAGCGATGGGAAATGATCCAACTTAGAAGTGAAACTAATTCATCGTCGATCCGGATCTGGATTCAGTCTTTTTTTAAATCAGCTTCTGTCAATTTTTCCCTTTTTAATGTAAGCTTACCCATCAGAGGTTTCCTTTCTTTTCAGTGACCTGGGAGGCGGATCTAAAAAAACATCTATGGAAAACCCGAGTTCTCTCAGTGATTCAATACCCTGAGTGGAGGACGTAGGCTCGGAGGGAACTTTAGTAGAAACGGAAACCTTTTTTTGTTTCGGCCGAGCAAAAACTCATCGGAAAAAGACGTTATTTAGTAAATCTGTCTTTCGCGCATAAATAAGAACCCTTTACCCCTTGGTACGTTGAAAACCACAAACATAACCAGAGAAATTGAACTAAATGACAAATACCCAATGACAACACCGACGTTTTCAGCTTTACAATATGCATACAGTCATGCATATATAGTGTCTATTTCCCCTTGCATACAGACAAAAGGTTGAAGACTAGACAGAGAGCTTTTAACCACACCAACTCTCTGCAGAGACTAACACTGATTATTAAAAGTCGGATACAAATGAGAGCGAACATAATTCACCAGCTGAGGAGAATGAGGACAAGAACTGATCTCAGAACAGACTTGTAAACAGAAGAGGCCAGAGAGCCACCGAGGATGATGGGTAATCCACATAAAGCTGCAATGATCAGATGGATTGCAAGAAGCTGAGTTTAGGTTGGAGTTTGAAGCAAAAGATATAAAAAACATCTTCTCCCACTCTACCCATCAGGGGATTCAAATATGCGGCTCCATCTAATTCCTTTCAGGCTTAGTGCTGTAACAGGAAGTAGAATTAAAAGTGATCGATTTATTTCGGTTTGCGCTGCTCGAGACAGAGTTTTAAAGAAAAACTACCTACGAGACGAAGGTTCGATCACTGGGCGGTAGGTGCAGGAGGGGGTGAGAGAGGAGCTCCAACGAGAGCTGCCCCCACCTTCCTTCTCACCCCTCCCTTCCTGTTTCCTCTCCTGGCCGTTAGGACCTGACAGGGTGGAGCGGCTCAGACAAACAGCTGGATGCGCTCACGGATAGTCTGCCGGCAGATGGGGCAGGTCTTGAGCGCGGCGCTGCAGTCGATGCAGGAGGCGTGTCCGCACTGGAAGACCAGCTTGATGTGGTTGTCAATGCAGATGGGGCAGGTGATGCGCTCCTCCATCTGGCGGTACCGAGACTGCAGCTGCTCCAGCAGGTTGTGCTGCTCAGAGTTCTCGGTGCCAGGGCTGCAGTCCACCTCCGTTTGGTCTGTGGAGCGAGGCCATCGGCACGAGTCAGTTTTAAGCAAGTTCAGAGGATTTTGTGCAAACTCTGCAGTATTGTGCAAGATGATATGTTCTCCTGTTCCACTGTGGCTGATGGATAAAGTTCTAAGTTGCAGCTAATGGCCTATAAGGAGATACCCGGTAGATGGAATGCCACCAAATAGGTAGGTACAACACTTTCTGCAGCAAGTTTCCAACATGGCTTAGACGGAGCGATAAATGTTCTCACCTTGTCGTATTTTCTTGGTGATCGTGACCTGACACTTGATGCATTTCTTCATGCGATGGGCACATTCTGTTTCAACAAGAAAAAAACATCAGATCAGCTGGTTGCTCTGCTGGAGGAGGACGAACTGAAGTTGTGTGGACTCCTAAACATTTGCTCACCTTCACAGGCCACGCTGTGCTGGCAGGGGCAGAAGAGAACCAGCAGAGCCAGCTCAGAACAGATGAGGCATTCGCTGGGCCCCGCCGGTGCGGGGAGAACCAGGTTGGTCATGGTGTTGGGCGTTGTGTGGACTCGCCGCAGGCTGGCACTGCTCAGGCTCTGCCCGCACGTGATGGCCTGAAGACGCTGCAACCTGACCGACAACAGGCAGGTTAAAAACGCCTGAATGGGCTATGCATGGATCATATGCGTAGTTACAAAACACAACAGGTTAAATGTATTTTGGAGTTTTTCTTTTGATCGATCTTTAACAAAACTCTTCAGCAGCTTTACAAACGTGATTATTTTGGAGAAAGTTCACCTGTGCTTCTCAGAGAAGCTCTTGATAAGCTGCAGCATGGTGCTGTCTGCCACCAGATCCAGGGGACTCTTGCCCTTATGGTTGGCATAGCTGATGTCAGCGCCTTCCTGCGCTAGAAAGCAGGCAATTGCTGTGCCGATGTTCAGCTCGGTATTCCCCAGGAGACCCGAGGAGTTCAGCTGCGGACATAAAGGAATGAGCCAGGTTAGACCATATCCTAAACATTTTCCCAGAGCAGGCTCTAATGGCACTCACACACGAGCATCAGCTCCATTCCACCTGGACAGGGTTGGGAGTGTTCTCATTTAGGTAACCTTGGATTTTCCTGAGCACAACCAGATGTCTGGCAGTCTGCCTGGAGCCAAACGGGGCCGACACGCCCACTGCCGGCTGATTGGCCGGCTCAAAATCACACGTACTATTAGGGGGGCTTCCTGCATGCGCAATTCATTATCATTGTGGATGCTTTGGAGTTAACAGGCCTCTGACTGAAGCCATTTTATTTTGTCTTTCACTAATGGGAGGAACACACACACACACACACACACACACACACACACACACACACACAATCGTGCCAGATACAGCAGAGCAGGATGCAAAGTAAGAGTCAGAGTCTCCAAAAGCAGGACAGCTCAGGCTGCTTTTGTTTATTAAAGGAGGTACCGCAGACTTCTCTGTGCTCTTCTGCCCCGCTCACATGCTTGAAGATGCTCTGATGACATCAGAGGCCGCAGACCGCCCATGTGCTCAATCACGTCCTAATTCCTAATGTGGAACGAACGCGGCCAGTCTGGGGCAGAAGGGGAGTTGAGCCGATGCTAGTGTGTAAGTGGTATAAAATGGCAAAAACCTGGAAATAGCTTAAAGGGGTTTTAGTTTGTATGATTGGGAACTGCTCTCTGAGCCCCTATAGATCATATGGAACTATGTTGGGGCTCATAATGGCCCAGGAGCCCTGATAAATAGCCAACTACAACCCCATCAGAACGCTCTAAAATGAAGACCGATTTGCCACGCCCACCTGGCCAGGACATGAATATTAAAGCTGCATGATGACTGGCCAGTCGGAGTTAAGTGTCAGCCCTGTAATCGGAAGGTTGCAGGTTTGAGCCCTACTCAGTCTGTCGCTGCGTCCCACAGGAAGGCTTTTATTAAAAATGCTTGCACTGAGGAGAGAGAGGGGAAAGTGTATTGTGACTTTGTAACATGGCTGAACACGTTTTGTTAGCCAGTTAGATGCTAGGTGTGTACATATCATTAATAAAGATGAGCAATCCTGCTGTTTTCAGCCCACCTTTGCACCAGCTAACTTCTGCCTCTCAGAACGGGAGCATCATAGCCGTTTGTTGTTTTGTTTTGTTTTTAATGACTCACAAGGAATTGATTTACACTAGAGAACACCACAAACACACAGGATAAATGAGTAAACTACGCCTTTAAAGGTTAAAGTAAATGATCACAAAGTATTGGGAGTTAAGTCGCAGCAGCCAGATCATAAACCCACATCTAATCACCACAGAAGAACTCCCTCAACAACTTGTCTGCTGACGGTGGTCAAAACAGCCGCGAGCACTGAAGTCTACCCTCCGTCATGGCTGTGTGGGTGTGCATGTGTGCGTGCGTGCGAGTGTGTGTGTGTTGGCCTGGCTGGTGCCCACGATACTGAGTGAAGCTGCGGCGTTTGTGGTCGTTGACATTAAAGGATGGTGACATATCCACACCTGTGGCTGTGATGGATTCAGGGTGTGTGTAAAATGTTTTCTATAAGAAGGAGTCAAGGTTTCCTAATGAAGAAGAGACACACACACACACACACACACACACTGAAATGAAACTGGTTCATCCGAGTTAACAGCTCATCAAAAAGCATGAAGCCATCAAAAGCCTGGTTCTTCTTGAACGAATCCATTTATCCCGTTTTTTGGCTCAATATCTGTAGAGCTTATTGAGTCTGAAGCATCTTTTTGTGTTTGCTGAGGCGGATTAGCATTAGCATTAGCATATTTAGTGAAACAAAAACTGAAAAAAGAATTCACAGAGAGGCAAATATAGGCTAAGGAGGCTCCTAAATAGGTGACCAGATGAGGTTAAGGAGGTAAATATAGTCTTCTAGTTGGGCAAAAATAAAAGTAGGATTAGAATCATGAGACGTATGCTTAAGTCATCTGGGATGAATTTGGGTTATGGAATGCTGAGTAAACAGGATAAGGCCGCGAGTCTGGTGACTCGGCTTAATCGGGTGTTAAGTGAGAAGAAATGGATCGAGTTCAACATGTAAGCAGGACAGGACGGAACGGGACAGGGCGGGACAAGACGAGACAGGACAGGGTGGGAAGGGACAGCGGGATTGACTAAGGACACTGAATAATATCAGAGTGCTGCTAATCATAACTCAAAGCAGGTTTCAAAGTCTTGACTTTATTTATTTTATTTTTTTTTAGAAAAAAGCCAAAACTGATAAGTTTCACTGCAACATGATTTTCTTTTTGCCCTAACTTTTTGCTCTGACATAACTCCTCAGAAGGGCAGACTACCTCGTGTTGTTCTGTAAAAGCCCTGGCACGAGCCTGAAAGTCACACTGTCATTAAGGGGGAGAGGTGAAGGCCATCCACTTAGTCTAGTAATATAGATTTGGGACGTGTGTGATAAATTATTTGTCTTTATCATGATATCAGAGACGTGGACAGACAACTTGTCCAAGGAATAGAAAACAGGTCAAGCGCTAACATCCCACATAAAGCCACAGAACCCTTCAGTAACATTTGATTAGATGATTATTTATCACCTTTGCTAGGTAGAAAATCTGAAAGGAAACTTTCATTTTAAGCTTTAAGCATTATAATAAATTATTTCAGTTCCCAGATACCATCAGAGCTTTTGCAGGGAAAATGTCATCAATATATTGATTAGAGCAGCCCTGAATCCTTCTTCGAGGGCGTTTTTACTCAAGCGATGCTGCTGTAATCGTTCCCACATGATGACGAGCTTCAGAACTGAGAACACTAAATTCCCTGGAAGAAATTTAACTATTATCATTTTTATTCCTTCAAGGCCTTTCATTATTCATGTCAGGCTTTTAGCAGCAACCTTAAGAGCACAGATCACGTCCGAGTTGTTACCCACCAATCTGGAGAGGTTTACAAATCCTGTCTGAAGCGTTTAACCGTTTGCAGATTTAACAGATGGATTGATGCAGTAATTTAAAATAGATATTTGGAAGCAAAAATATTAACGTGTACAACTGAGCACAAAATAAAAATGAGGATTCAAATCTTGCTGTTCAGCAGCAGCTTTAGGCCTAGTCCACACGTAGCCGGGGTTTTTAAAAACGAATATCCGCCCCTCCAAAAACTTGCATCCACACCACCTCGTTTAAAAACAAAACTCTGTCCACACGTACCCGGATAAATACGTTGTTCAGGACATGCCAGACCTGTAGGCGGCAGTACTTCCCCCGTTCTTAACCTCGTCCTTCGTCTGTGGTCTTCCGCAAGGAGCAGTAATTCCGCTTGCAAAAACAAACAAGCAAAAAGCGCTTGGACAATTGATAAAGCGAGCGCAGCTCTGAGGGCATCCATGCTGTCGGCTAGTGTAAACACAGGTCGCACACGTGATGTCAGCATTTTTTGTCGCGGAAAGTGACGTTGCGGACCTTAAAACTCCGGTTTCGTCTGTCCACACGCAGACACCCAAAACGGAGAAAACGCAGATCTTCACTTTGGCCGGAGTTTTAAAAAGATCCGTTTTCGTGTGAAAAAACTCTGTTTTCGTGTGGATGACAGGCCAAAACGTAGAAAAATATCTACGTTTTGGCAGATCCCCGGCTACGTGTGGACAGGGCCTTAGTGTCACCCCTGTGGCGTGAGTTAACAAGCCCTGGAAATGCATCCTTTAATTACCGCCCCCCATTTGCAGCAAAGGATTATTATAAAAATCTATTCTTTCTGATAACATAAAGTAAAAGTAATGAAACAATGCAGATTTCATTACTTGTCTCTAGCAGAATCATCGTGTCTCACCCTGCAGTAGAGCGACGTGGACGAGCAGCCCTCGCTGCTCTCCTCAGTGCTGCTTGTTCCCACTGAAGGGCCGAGTACAACGTTGGCCAGCTGGGGGCGGAGAAGGGCCACGTGCATGGCCGTGTCACCGTCTTCGTCCTCCATGTTCACATCAGCACCTTCATCCACCAGCAGCTGCACCAGGTCTGTGTGGCCCTGGGTCACAGCCAGCTGCAGCGGTGTCTGGTTCCGGTTGTTGCAGATGTTGATGTCACAGCGTCCCTTTGAAGGACGAGGGATTTGGGTTCAACGTTCGTTTAACAATGACGTGGCATCAGGAAAGCCTATGAACACGCTGTTCTTCTGTGAGGCTCACCTCCTTGACGAGGACCTCTGCGACATCTCTGTGGTTGTTGAGGGAAGCCAGATGAAGGGCAGAGAATCCGTCCTCCTTTTTAACGTCCACCAGCTGTCGAGCTCGAGCCAGGATTTTCTCAGTGGCCCTGAAGGCAGCGAAAACAGCAGAGCACCCGATTAGTCACTAAAATCCTCATAGCTTTTTTTTAAAAATACAGAATAGAATTATTTGCAGCTCCTAATTATCACCAACTGAGGAAACAGGGCGTGTTCCCTTTTGTCATTAGCAAAACATCTCAAGCACCACAAAATTAATCTTGACAAAACTCCCAGAAATCAACCGTAAAGTCTGCACCTACAAATGGTTAACCGTCTGAGTCAAGCTAATTCAACATGGGGTTAAAACTACACATGATATTACATGAGATTGCACTTATTATCAAAAGTAGACCAAAAGTATGACTAGAATAGGTCTCGCTCACTGAGAAACCGTGTAATACTTGCTCTTTTGGAAAAACGATCAGTCACTCTAAGATGCAAACGCATAGCCTAGAAAGCTAAACAACCGTAGCGGTAGCAGGCTGCTCTAGCCACACTCCACTGTAGCCTAAGCAGGTCTACCTGCCTGATCGGTTTTGTACCGAGCCAATCATCGCGCTCTATGCTTTTTGGGTGGGCTGAACGATTGAGCTGCGAAGGAGAAAAACTACAAAGATGGCGTCTGCTTAAAGAGCAAGTCACCCCCTACTAAATTCTTACTCAGCTCCCACTTTCTGTTTGAAAAATGCAAAAAATGCTGTAGCCTAGCGGACCGAGAGGGCGGAGCTGCTAACAAATACACACACACACACAGGCTCACAATGACATTGTGACATCGTAATGTACCATCTAACATCATTGTATACTTCTTAGCCAATAGCGATGGCAGATTTAAATTCAAATGCAGCGCAGAGTTTTTACCTGACAACGGCACAACACTGACAGTTTTAGGCAGAAAATTAAAAGTTGAACTAAAATCCACTAAAGTGCAAAACTATTGACTACACGTGTCTGCAGCACGATTAGACATGCATTTATATAGTTTATCAGAAGAATAAGTTGATTTGGGGGTGACTTGCTCTTTAAAAACAGCACTTGTTTGAAATTGGCTTTGGCATCAAGTTTATATGATTTAGACGTGAGCCTTTCTTTGAGACATGAGTAGTACTTAAGTCATTTATTTCAAACATGGATGGATTTGCTTCTTCTACTTCTGTGATGGTGTACGGAGGACTGCCCTGTTGACTGATATCCATAGTGGTCAGCACAACGTCACGTTCGTGGTTTTGTTTGGTCCTAGCGCTGTCCATTTGGAGACATTTTGAAATACAACCACAGATATCGCACCACAACAGGCTTTTTTCCGTAACTCGTGGCCAGACGGCATATGTAGGATGGCTCGCCAGGCTAGCAAATGCATGCTGAACGTGAAGTTTTTCTTCAAAGCTATCGTCTGCATTAGCCGCAGAGAGGAAAGAATGGAAAAAAAGATTTGGTCAGAAAAAGTCGGTCTCTTCTATGTCAGAGAAAATCAGCAATCACGGCGCTGCCCATCCTGGCTTGTGACCACTCACGGGAAGGAAAGAGCAGATTGCGTCTCGGCTAGTAGATGCTAACCATTAGCAACTCCACATCATGGCAGAACACGTTCCGTCTTTTGTTACTTTTCACCAAAGAGAAAATGTTTTACAGTGTTCTGACTTTTGTTAACAAAGGTAGCAGGAGAGTAGCATTGCTGTTAGCCAATCAGGGAAGAGACAATAACCTATCAAGTATTTTAACGAGTAAGACTTGTAATCCAGCCGTTTTCCTCCCTCCGCTCCTTGGATAAACGTCTAACTCGAAACGGGAGTGCGAGAGTTTTTGCTTCACAGAGAACAACTCACAAAGCGTTCACATTTACAGACCCTAGCAAATAAACTCCCACACAGATCTTAGTTTAAAACCTTTGCATGTTAGGGATTTGATTTAATTTAAATATATGAAGCAGATGGACAATAATCCCCTGGTGCATGAATTTGATTTTAGGCCTTTTGTAACCATAAATAAATTATTCAGTTGATTGAAACCCTACAATAAGATAAAAGCGACGGATCTAAGAATAACAACACTCTCCTCCAGGAATGTTTCCTAGGTTTCCTCAAGTTGGTCATCAGGTCAGCCAACGGGTCTGGAAGCAGAGGAAAGGTCTCCATCCTTAACAATAGGTACAGGTAATAAGTTAAAGGGGTGGAGCTTGATCAGATGTCTTCTTCCATCTGCTTCTTTTCGTTCGTGGATTTTGTGTTGAAATTTAATATTTGCTGATTTTATTTTAGTCTTGTTTTTTACTCTTTTTTTGAATCAAACAAGCAGATGAATGGTACACCTGGACAGACACGGAGGGACTAACCCTCCTTGCTGTGGACATTGAGACACAGCAAATGTATCACGTGCAGAAAATAACTGCTACCCTGCTAAAGGACAAAACTATAAAAAGCCATTACACATGCAACACTTTTAACTAATCAATAGTAGCGGCTTGGTGTTGCCATTTTTAGAAAAGGTAATCATTGAAATGTCAATGTTCATGGTTATCGTTAAACAGGAAGTATTTATGCTCACTAGCTCTCCAACATTTAGCATTTAGGAGGTAAATTAAACAAAAATCTTGCTTTAAATCAGAAAAATAACCGAGTCCGTTTATGCCAACGTCAATGTAGAAGATTCAAATATTCAAACCACAGATTTGTCTAAACAGGAAGCTGATTAATGCCCAAAATACCGGAGAACATTTTAATCTTTAAGCTCATCGTCCATGTATATTCATCCAAATTTTGCGAGTTTTTATGATCAAAGGAGAACTAAAAGAGCTGGAGTTTAACGGTCAGTGAAGTGAGACTATGATGGACTTCTTTATGCTTCGTGCAGCCGGCTGATGTTGCAGCTCAAACGTGGGCTGCTCTTTAGACGAGTCTGCTTTATGAAATGTGAAATTGAAGCCGACAGCCTTTGCAAGCGCCCGGGAAGCTGGCAAATCACCACGGAGGCATCGGTGTGACACCAACTAAACTTTCTGTGGATGTTAGGTTAATTTACTGCTGCCTCTGCAGGATTTCACAGTGTGGAGATACTGGTGTTGCACACGCTGATAGATGATCCTGGCATCCAGCATTTCAAGAGAAAATCAACACTAATCAAGCGGACCAGTGGGAATGCATTTTGTGAGTTTCCAGCACACAATCATACTGGTTCAATCGCTGCTGAGCCAAGAGTCCAGCTATAAAAAACAACACAATGTGCAATGAAACAGATTCCATGAGTCATTTTATGTCAGATATCTGTTTCTTGCAGACTAAAAAGGCTAAAAGTGCATGTCTGTCTCCATTTAAACAGACTGTTAATAGCAACAGATAGTGGGGAAGATATGTGATAATAATGAGAAATGTTTTTTATTCTTATGAAAAAGACAAGTCCGCATTCACAATCCTGCTCTACGAACAACATTTCAGCAGCAGAGCAGGAAAAGCTAGAGAGCATTTTTTATTATTACGAGTGACCTCTTCCAGCTTCCAGAGGCTCATTGGCTGTTCACGGCTGAAAGCCCTTCTGTTAAATGAGTTAGATCTGACTTGGATTGCCTCTGTGATTTAAAAGCTGTTATGGGAGACATTGCTGGAGGTCACTGGTACCTGCATTGCAGGTCTGTGTGTGTGTTACTGCACGTGTGCTGCTGAGGTAGTGAGGGTTTTAAACAGCTGTTCCAGCTTTACAAGCAGCTCCTGACAACCTCTGAAGGTTCAGACAGCTCAATCTTGCAGCTGAAGCAGCCCGGCAGACTTCAAAACAGCATTTCCAGCTGTCACCATTCTACCAACATGACTGTTGCACCTGTACATACATGAGTTTCAGATTTAAGCCGGTGCTCTCAGGCAACTCTACAGAAACTCGCCTTTTTTCCAAGACACTAATGCCTTTCCTGGGGATGTTTTTGTGCTCGTAACCTGTTCAAAGCAGGAGAGTAATGGTTCTGGCTCCAATTTGAAGAAAATGTTGAATTGAATTAAAACTAAGACATATTATTCCTTTAAGGCACATATGTCAGACACAAGGCCTGCGGGCCAGATGCGGCCCGCGGAGCATTTTTATGTGGCTCGCGAGATAAATATCAAAAATATATTAGAACTAGCCCGCTGGCCGATTTTACTGCAAAGACTTCAACTCCCATGATGCTTTGCGGCGTCAGCGCGGAGCCGACGCACCCCCTCCTTTGTGTTTTTTCCAGCGCCTGCTGCCGGTGTCTGCAGCTCCGCTGTCTCGGACAAACTAAACACTCCTCTCACTCAGCGCCGAGTTCACTCAGCTGTTTTATGACGTTGAAGCCCAGAAACGGAGATTCTAGCCGCTCAGTAATGTGTTCACGACTGAAAGAGAAAGTTTTCCAACTAACGTCCAGACAGAGCTGATATAACTCCAGCGACACGCTCAAACCAGCATGACTCTGTGGCTGCTGTCGTTGTGTTTCCTCCCCGACACACAACAACGTGGTCAAGCTGCTCAGACATGTTCAGCAGCACAAACCTATGTGAGCACCTGTTGTCATCTAATGTTGTCATTATTATGATGAAGATGAACAAAACAACAGGAGTCTCCTCCTCAGCTCAGATCAACCCCATGATGCAGGGGTATCTGGCTGGAACAGGTGAGCATCACAGTAAACCAGTGGAGCAAACTGAGCTTTAAATATGCTGGTTTTATGCTCTTTTTCTGCTCCAAAACATGAAAGTTAACAGGTGAGATGTTGCATTTTCATTTAAGATAAAATGATATTTTTATTTTGTTGTTGGCCCGTGAGAAAAGATTTAACCTACAGTAAACAGGAAGTGGAAAGGCTGCAGATAGATGAATAGAATAGAAAATCCCTTTATTGTTCCTCAGTGGGGAAAGCTAGACGTCACAGCAGCAATGACACGTATTACAGGAGAAAAAAGGAGAATAAAAAATAAGAAAAATGAATAAACAAGAAAACATAAATCCTGAATAGATTCATAAAATGCTGATTATACCACAAGTAATGAATACCACTGATGCCTTTTATTTAAAACTGACTTGCTCGTGTGTAATTTGTTTATTCCACATTCAGTGTTAATGCAGAAATAAGTTTGTTTCAAAATTTAAAGGTTCAAAATTGCATATATGTTGATAAAGAAAATGTGCAAATTTGCATCACTTTTTCAAAAAATATTAAGTTTGGCCCTCGACTCCGTCCCAGAGTTTCATTTTGGCCCCGTTGAGTTTGAGTTTGACAACCCTGCTTTAAGGAATGCATTTTGCCACTTCTCAAACCTCGGTTGGGAAAAGATGGATGGGTATTGTAACTTCCAGCTGTTGCAACATGAAACAACAGCTCAATATCTGTGAAAGTGAACGTTGCAGACATCTTTGTGCCGATTATAAAAGGCTAACTAGTAGATGTACACCCAGGCATTACTTTCAGAGTTTCATACAATTCTGTCCAGTGATTTGTGAAAATATATTGTGAACACACACCAGCAAAAACATTATCATACGCTGCACAGCACACAAGTTAAAGGATACAAAAGGAACTGAGTGACTAGAAAATGCAATGATGGAGGAGAAAATGACAGAAATCAGGAGGAAATCCACTGAAGCAGCCTGTTTTCTAGTAAATACAGCAAACTAATTCTCCATCCCCTGCATCCTCCCTCAGACTGAAGGAGATTTCTGGCAGCACGCCTCGTTTTCTAGTTTCCCAGGACTCTGCAAACTTGGCAAGTAGCTGCATTTTTCCATTTCCTCACAAAAATATAAGAACACTAATAAACAAACCGTTCTGTCACTAAAAAACAACAGATGTTCACGGATGTTCTCTGGAACTTCAGTGTCTACGGTTATACGTCGTTTTTCTTTGTGATATTTGCAATAGAAATGTAACCTATCACTTTCTGATTTTCCTTTTGGAAAAAAAGGATCAACCTAGGTAGTAGATAAACAAAAATATTTTAATGGTCATGGTAAGATTCTCTATTTCCATATTTCATTTGATTCATCAGATTCAATAAGGCAAACGGTAAAAGTCTCTAACAGGAACCCTGAGAAAGGAAACTGCATCAGGGAGAAAATTGACATGCATGCTTACAGGTGCTGGCCAGTAAATTAGAATATCATCAAAAGGTTGAAAATATTTCAGTAATTCCATTCAAAACGTGAAACTTGTACATTATATTCATGCAATGCACACAGACCAATGTATTTCCAATGTTCATTACATTTAAATTTGATATTCATAAGTGACAACTAATGAAAACTCCAAATTTGGTATCTCAAAAAATTAGAATATTCTGAAAAGGCTGAATATAGAAGACACCTGCTGCCACTCTAATCAGCTGATTTACTCAAAACACCTGCAAAGGCCTTTAAAAGGTCCCTCAGTCTTGTTTTGAAGGCACCACAATCATGGGGAAGACTTCTGACTTAACAGCTGTCCAAAAGACAATCATTGACACCTTGCACAAGGAGGGCAAGACACAAAAGGTGATTGCTAAAGAAGCTGGCTGTTCGCAGAGCTCTGTGTCCAAGCACATTAACAGACAGGCGAAGGGACGGAAAAAATGTGGTAGAAAAAAGTGTACAAGCTCTAGGGATAACCGCACCCTGCAGAGAATTGTGACGACAAACCCATTCAAAAATGTGGGGGAGATCCACAAAGAGTGGACTGCAGCTGGAGTCAGCGCTTCAAGAACCACCACGAGGAGACTCATGAAAGACATGGGATTCAGGTGTCGCATTCCGTGTGTCAAGCCACTCTTGAACAAGAAACAGCGCAAGAAGCGTCTCGCCTGGGCCAAGGACAAAAAGGACTGGACTGATGCTGAGTGGTCCAAAGTTATGTTTTCTGATGAAAGCAAGTTCTGCATTTCCTTTGGAAATCAAGGACCCAGAGTCTGGAGGAAGAGCGGAGAAGCACAGAATCCACGTTGCATGAGGTCCAGTGTAAAGTTTCCACCGTCAGTGATGGTGTGGGGTGCCATGTCATCTGCCGGTGTTGGCCCACTCTGTTTCCTGAGGTCCAGGGTCAATGCAGCCGTCTACCAGGAAGTTTTAGAGCACTTCATGCTTCCTGCTGCTGACCAACTTTATGGGGATGCAGACTTCACCTTTCAACAGGACTTGGCACCTGCACACAGTGCCAAAACCACCAGCACCTGGCTCAAGGACCATGGTATCCCTGTCCTTGATTGGCCAGCAAACTCGCCTGACCTTAACCCCATAGAAAATCTATGGGGTATTGTGAAGCGGAGGATGCAATACGCTAGACCCAACAATGCAGAGGAGCTGAAGACGACTATCAGAGCAACCTGGGCTCTCATAACACCTGAGCAGTGCCACAGACTGATCGAGTCCATGCCATGCCGCATTACTGCAGTTATTGAGGCAAAAGGAGCCCCGACTAAGTATTGAGTGCTATACATGCACATTCTTTTCATGTTCATTCTTTTCAGTTGGCCAACATTAGAGAAACAAACATTTTTTCATTGGCCTTTAGAATATTCTAATTTTCTGAGATACCAGATTTGATGTTTTCATTGGTTGTCACCTATAAATATCAAATTTAAATGTAATGAACATTGGAAATACATTGGTCTGTGTGCATTGCATGAATATAATGTACAAGTTTCACGTTTTGAATGGAATTACTGAAATATTTTCAACCTTTTGATGATATTCTAATTTACTGGCCAGCACCTGTATATTTTTTCTCTTCTCACTTCCTTTTCTTGGGATCTGCGTCTGCCAGGGACAATTTTCCATGACATAAGCTTTGGTATACTTCTAAAGAAAAGCGTACACTGCCGTCTCAGGTGTGTGAAAACCTTAAAAACTATCAAAATGTTCAAAAAGTCCTTTGGATTAAAATATATCTCCTTTTAGAAAACAGGCAAACTACTTTTGTTTGTTTGCTGATCCAACTTATTAAAGACCAAGTTCACTTATTCTTTCAACACATTTGCAGTGGTCTCTAAATACATTAATGCCTTGTGAGACGATTTGTGAGAGCAAAAAAAATCCAGAGCAGAGGTGAGCAGCAGACTACTGGATTTAAGACTTATTTCCTGATATTCGGTGTTCTCGTCTCTGATTGGACAACAGCAACATGACTCTACTACGGAGTCCATTTGATCTGCAATGTTGATTTTTATTCCCCACAAATAACACAAGCCTGAAGGAGTTCAGCTCTATGGTGAAGATGCTAAAGCTAATGGTTAGCTTCTGTTAGAGAGGAGTTCTGCTCTCTCCTGAACGTTAACCTATTGAGCCTATTTAGCGTGCAAAGGCACACTGAAAATAGATGCTAAACAGTCTATTTTCTAGCGTGTTAAACTCAGAGTAACATCACATTTCAAAAACAAGTAAAAAATGGTTTATCAGTGAACTTGGCTTTTAATTCCACCACAAACAAGAAAAGTAACTCTTTATATCAAAATATCATCACCATAAATATTTAAAAATGTGTCATGTGCCTGCATCAATGTCTAAATTTACCATAAATACCAAAAGACAGATTACAGCTGCCTGTAACTGAAAAAAAGCAAATAGTACAACATAATTTAATGATGGACAACCTCTATTCTATTAGAATGATATAGTTACCCAGACCAAAGTAAAATCTTAAATTAGCATCTGGCAGCCAATAAATAACTGTCCAGTTGAAAATATAGTAAATAATACTAATTTGATGAGTTCAACTATGATGATATCTGCACATAGTACAGGACTTTGCACAATAAAATCAGTCATCTGATAATGTTTCTTTTGGCAGTGGTTGATCACTATCAAGCATCCATCCATTCTTGGATCACTCTGCATTCACGGGCTATTTAAGGTGGGTGGAGGCTAAGGTGATGCAACATGTACAGAAAGGCTGGCCATTAATGTTGACTCATGTCTGGATCAAACAATGTCACTGTGAGAACACGCTGAGCTGTTGCCTGCCTTGTTAGCGTCGTGCTCAGTTTGCGATTAAGAACCTTCAGTGTCAACGAGCTTAAAACCAAACAGGCAGAAGACAAAAGAGCCTTTGTGACAGGTGTCATAGGGGCGGCTTTCACGTGTCACCTCAAGAACAAACGGAGAATGACTGAGTTTATCTTTCAATGAGCTTCTGACGGATAGAAAATAAGCTGGATTTAAACCAAAAAAATACATAAACGACTTCATCGTTAGTAAAAGCAGCGAGTTTGCATCTGAGAGCTAGAAAAAAAACAGGATAGCTTCAGTTAAATCAAGTTTAATCATAATCTCTCAAAGAAGACATAAAAATGCATGACGAGTGCTGTTAGGAGGCTGTTCCCAGAGATTTGCCTAGTTGTCATTAAAAACAGGTAAAGAGTGTGTGTGTGTGTGTGCGTGCGTGCGTGCGTGCGTGTGTGTGTGTGTGTGTGTGTGTAAGTGTGTGTGTGTGTAAAAGAAAAAAGGAGCTGTTCCCACTCTTGCAGTCCCAACTGAAGCTTCTCAATTCAAAAGTAGACTAAGTGAAGTTTGTTTAAAAAAATTTAAAGACACATTCATGGAAGACGTTTTAGAGACTCTTTCCACGAAAGACACATCAGTGACCGTGATGAGAGGCTCCTCTTATAAACAAGTACACTGAATATTGTGTGGGAACAATTCAGAGGACAAGTGTGTTTATAAAGAGATGCAACAACAAAAAATACACTTTGTTTGTTGGATTTTCTGCTTGATATCGACTTCCAGGCTGCTGACGGCAGCAAAACGCTGTGTGTGAGAAGAGCTCTCTATCTGCAACAGATAGTGTTGAGAGCTGACCATCAAATCCTCATCTGAACCCACCAGAGAAACTCCCACTTGCGCATTTTTCTAACTATTTTTCAAAGCTTGTGTGAATTAAATGAATTCAAACAAGGCAAAAGGATTTTTTTTTCTCTAAAAGATACCCTGGACATCTGATTAGCTCAATCTCCACAGATGAAACTCAAAGAAAGCACACATTTTTTAAAATGAAGTACAAAATCTGTTTATCTTCCAATAAATGTGGGTTTCAAGTCAAATCTGCTCCTACTTACAGTTTGTTTCCTTTGAGGGCGGCGTGGTGCAGCAGGTTGAAGCCTCTGTGGTTCTGCTGAGTAAAGTCAATGTTGGGAACCGCCACAAGGATCTCAATGATATTTCTGAAGTCTTTAGCAATGGCATCGTGAAGCGGTGTGTCCCCGTATGAATCCTGAAGAGAAAATAAAAACAGGCTTAAAATAGATCAGCCTGTTTTCCTGAATTGCACTGAGCCGAGGAGAAATCAACATTCACCTAATTGCTCATTTTGTCAACTAAAAGTTTTAATTTCTGGTCATCCTAACAAAAACAATTTAAAAACAGACCATATTTATATTTCCCCACACAGAAAACCCAAATAAACTTCAGGCAGACATGTTTTTAGTTGAGTAGCTGCATCATTCAAGCAGAATGAAACGAGTTAGTCAAATTTGGGCCTGGTTGCAGGCGAGTTAAACCAACTGAAAAATCCCACATTAAACAGATATTGCACTGGAGAAACGAGGCTGAGAGCTGAAGAAACAGCAACTTACAAACCCGCTTAAATAACAGAGTCCGATCGCTGCTTTAGAACAAGTAAACAAGCGGCTGAGTTCAACTTAATCTGCAAACCTGTTTGCTCTGCTGTTCACCTCTTCTGTTTGGTTTGTTGCTAAACCAAAACAAACATCTTTCAAGGCCAGATTAGTGTTTTAAAACATCTATTCTATATATAAACTACCCCTTTAACATAAGATAGATGTTTTATGTTTATTTGACTAAATTTATTGCCAGCTGAGTCGTCGCAATGCTTCAATTTCCCTCAGGGTGCAGCTTCAGTGTCCAATCCACTGATTCGGTGGAAAATCAGTTAGTTCATTTCATACAATGTCAACCACAGTGATTCGTTTTTTAAAGTGAAAAAAAAAGACACTGAAAGAAAATCAGAAATGAAAAAAAAAACAATCAGTATCTTGGGCTTAGGAGTCGTGCCGCGGGCTTACGTAAACACCCGCTCACCTGGAGATTGACGTCAGCCGAATGATCGGTCAGCACTCGCACCACGTCAGTGAAGCCCTTGTTGACAGCGATTTGGAGTGCCGTGCACATGGAGTTGTTCAGGAGGTTGATGTTTGCTCCTTTGCTCAACAGCAGCCGTGCAATCTCAGCCTGATTACTAAACGGGAAAAGATGAGTGAATCAGCCAAGACGATGAGTTTTAAATCGGTTCTTTTAGCATCACTTAGCAGCGCTACATTCATAATTAAAAACAAGAATCAGTTTGAACCTTTTTACTTCTCTGCATGAACAAAATCATCTGCACAGCTTTATCCTGCATGTGTGTTCTCACCCAAATGCTGTATAGTGCAGAGCCGTGTCCCCGTCTTCATCCTTGACCTCCACTGAGCTGTTGGCCTGCAGCAGAGCCTTCACCACCTCCATGTGGCCTTGGTGAGCAGCGACCTGCAGCGCAGTCTTCCCTTGGTTCTTGATATCCACCTGCCAGGAACACAGACATCGTTGGAGGTTCATCTGAGACTGAATACGTTTGAACAGAAGCAGAGCTGATCACACACTGGCTAGAAATAATCTGCATGAACAAGAGCCGCGTTCGTCATCCGCGTGGTCAGAGACATAATCCCATCTAGTAATGCCGCCGCTGCAGAGTGGAACGAGCGGCCCACAACAAACGCCTTTACTCTTGTTTACAGGGTGACTGTGACATTTCCTAAAAAACATCTACTTGGTGACAGACGTGTCTGATAACAGAGTGACTAGATGAATCGAAAAGAACACGAAACGCATTTTAAATATTAGTAAAAAATCTTACAAATACGCAAGATTACAGTGTTATTTTTGTGTTGATGTAGATAAAGAAAATAGTCAAAGAAGCAAGAAAATTGAAAAATCAGAGGAATATCTCCAAAATGTTGAGAATGTCAGATAGTTAGCCAATAGAAAAAAGTCAACTTTTCCAAAATAAAGACACTTAAAAAACTAAATGAATATTTTATAACATTTCATACATACATTTTCAAGGACAGATTGAATAATCCTAAATCTGCACGAAAATGGCTTCAATTCTCATGGATTAAAGTTGTGATTTTACATGGAGAACATCTGGGGTTTTTTTATCTGTCAAAGGTCAATTTAAATGATAAATGACCCGCACTCGTATAGCGCCTCTCAGAGTAAGGACTCCAAAGCGCTTTACACTACAGTGTATCATTCATCCATTCACACACACACGCATTCACACACTGATGGGGATGAGCTACGATGTAGCCACAGCTGCCCTGGGGCGCACTGACAGAGCACAGGCGCCACCGGTCCCTCCGACCACCACCAGCAGGCAAGGTGGGTTAAGTGTCTTGCCCAAGGACACAACAGCAGAATTCTCTGTCCAGAGCTGGGATCAAACCTGCAACCTTCTGATTACTGGACAACCCGCTCAACCTGTTGAGCTACTGCTGCCCAATTTATTTGGGGTGAAGGACACCAAATTTAGGAAACAGAAAAAAATCACAAACATTACTCCAAAGTGGCCTCCTAACACCTACTAGAAAACGGCATTCATTTGTTTGCATTGTTCAGAAACTGTGGTACTTATTCATGTTTTATGTTCAGCGACCTTGAGAGTACTGAAAGGAGCTTACAAATAAAATGTATTACTATCATCATTATTATTATCATTATTATTATTATTATCATTATCATCATCATTAGTATTATTATTATTGTTATTATTATCATTATCATCATCATCATTATTATTATTATTATCATTATTATCATCATTATTACCATTATTATTATTATCATTATTATCGTTATTATTATCATCATCATCATTATTATTATCATTATTATCGTTATTATTATCATCATCATCATTATTATTATTATTATTATCAGCATTATTATTATCATTATTATCATCATCATCATCATTATTATTATCATTATTATCGTTATTATTATGATCATCATCATTATTATTATCATTATTATCGTTATTATTATCATCATCATCATTATTATTATTATTATTATCAGCATTATTATTATCATTATTATCATCATCATCATTATTATTATTATTATCATTATTATTATCATCATTATTTTTTTTATTATCATTATCATCATTATTATTATCATCATTATTATTATCATCATCATTATTACTATTATTATTATTATTATCATTATTATCATCATTATTATCATTATTATCATTATTATTATCATTATCATTATTATTATTATTATCATTATCATTATTATCATCATCATCATCATCATTATTATTATTATCATTATTATCATCATCATCATCATCATCATTATTATTATTATTATCATTATTATCATTATTATCATCATCATTATTATTATCATTATCATCATTATTATTATCATCATCATCATCATTATTATTATTATTATTAGAATGTGCTCTGCAGAGGATGCAGACTAATATTTAGATTAAAATATTTTTTGATTATGTGTAATTTAATTATATTAAATACTTAAAAATAATAAGAGGAAGTCGAGTTGAACTATACAGAAATGGAACTCGTTATTTTTTTATTCTATAAGCAAAAGAGGAACTTTTGAGAGAACTGGGCTAGCACTACCCTGCTGGTCATTGCCTCACTTCAGTCTTCATTATGCTAATATGATAGGAGTAAATTAGTAATTTAATCAGACTGGTAATATGTCAAAGTGCTTAGTTTGTTCTAAACAAGTTTTGAGCGCCCCCCACCCCCCACCACCCCCACCCCACACCCCACACCCACGCACGCACCCCGTCTTGGAACGGACAGCAGACTGCAGCAAACAGGAGTGCTGCACTCACCTTGTCAGGATGCTTCTGCACCAACTCCCGCACTTTGCTGGCACTGCCGTGCGCTGCTTCAATGACCAGCCGGCTGGGGTTGTCCTGTTCCGTGGACTGAGACAGCAGCTTCTCCAGCACTGAGATGACAGTACCTGGACAGAGCGGGAGAGGAAACAGAAAAAAAGACACAAGAGTTAGCTTTTCCATTTCAACAGTAACCACAGACGGCTTTAGAGAGGGACAAAAACTCTAAGTTATAGGATGATGACTTTTTCAGGGCTGGAATGAACACATGAATGAGTCAAAATGTCCCTCCATGCAGTGGAACCTGACCACACACCGGTTTTGGTTCTCACCTTGTCATTGGTGAGGTGAACACATACACAGACAGAGCACAAGATGATTAAGAGCCTGCTGAGAACTTCTGACATGATGACAAACGTTTGCTGAGCTGCCAAAGCTTCTTGCTGTTAACAAGCTGCATCGCGGCATGCTACAGGAAAGAGCACTTGAAGAAACCAACACCCTGCTCGCACAATCGGGGGAAAAAACAGAAAGGCCACAGATGGAGGCGCCTATATGAGAAAGCATGCAAAGCGGAGACGGTGCTGGAAGGAGGGCTGGAGAGGAGGAAAGAACGCATGATGAAAGGTGAAGCTGGAGCTGCAGCATTTTGGGATGAGCCCCCTGGTCCCGGAGGAGGCCTTACTTCCAGATTCGATGGGGTTCTCAGCTGTCATGAGGTTGGCATCTACCTCTGCAGGCTGAGCTGCAAGGCATGCTGGGTTAAAAGTCCATGTCTGGCCTCCAAATGCAACTCGTAGGTCTCCATCTGCGTACACCTTCAACACCTTGCCGACCTGGCCAAGAACCTAGGGTAAACAACGACAGAAACCAGGTGTGAGGAGAGGGAAAGAGCAAATGAACCAATCAAGGATGTATTAATGCCCCATTTCTGTCCCTCTGACATTTTAAGTAATCAAGCAGTTAAATCCTAACTTTAAACTAGTTTGCTTTAAAAGAATTCCAGTTAAATAAAATGACTGGTTATAGAAAGAAAAACTGCTAAAATAAAGACGGCAAATAGATTTTTTGTCATTTTGTACATTTGTGAAAGACCACCCAAATCCCAAACAATTAATCCATCTAAACTGCACTTCGTCTCTCCTAAAGTCAAGTGACTTTTAGCTTAAAGCTCCACTACACCTGCATGCAGAGGTCGCCCTATCAGCCGACCTTTTAGTTAGTTAGCCTATAACTCAGCATACAGGAGTCATGCTGTCTGTCCACTCTCCATGACCGGCCTGCAGTCTCTTCACCGTCTCCATCTCCTCCAGCACTCGCACTAGTTCGCCAACTCCAAAGGTGTTGACCTAAATAAAGATAAAATAAAAGCCAAAATATGAAATCGTTCTGAATCAAAACCAGCGTATCCTGCTCCGTATTTACGTACCTTTGTGAGAGCGCCTGGGTGGAAAGTCCAGCGGATGTTGTTGCTGTACTGGACCCGGACGTCTCCTCGGTCCGTTATTCTATGAACCGTCCCGATCCGACAAATGTACTGCCAACACAAACAGACCGTTTCACCCTGGGTCTTCCCTCGGTGTGACCTTATTATTCTCTTTAGCAGCTGTAATTGCAAAGTTGGATGCTCAGCCTTGTTCTAAAAGGATTCGGTTTGTCCTAGTGGAGTGTTTTTGTGATTGTGGAGCCAGAGTTTTGTTGAAAACAAACACATTTGTGCACAACAGGCTTACTGATAAAAAAAAGAAAGTTAATGAAATAGTTCTACATTTAATTAAAAGCTAAAATCCTTATTGTGTTTGTCATCCATCTGTTTTGCATTTCGTACCTCGGCCATTTTGGGGTTCCATCCTCCGTGACCTTCCTGCATCTGTCTCAGGATGTCCACCTCTAAGAGACATTTCACCTTGTCTCCTTGCTGAAAGGAGTGGCCGTCAGCGCTCTCCTGCCGCTGCAGCTCTGCGTGTTCTCCTGAAATCAGAGATGAGAAAGAGGAAGTCGTATTGTGGTGGTAGATTTTTAGATGTTTTCTAGAACGTTTGTGTACCGACTCCCTAACAAGTGACTGGAATTGGTCGAATTTTGGTTTGCCCATTTTGAAATCTTACAACTTGGTGGAGTTTTAAAATGTTTCCACTGACAATGTTTATTATGAATTTTCTGTGTAAACAGAAAACTCAAAACACAAAAAGTTTGCATCTATTTGTTGCTCTCGTTGTCATTAGTTCCTCGTTTAATTTGTTCCAATGATGACCGACATCATGAGCCTCCATGTTATTTTGTGAGTTAACAGCTGAACATTTAGAGAATTGCTGTTTAAAAGAAATATTATGCAAAAATACCTTGTTGCATCCTTTTGTGTTGCCATGTGGGTCTCTACTGTCTCTTGAAACACGGATAAAACCCTGTTCATACCGTTTTTGTCAGATTTTCGTCTCAGGAATCGTAGGCTTCAACAAGCCATTTCAAACTTTACCCCTGTTGTGATGTCACAAACATAAGCATAGACACTGCCCCAACCTGTTGAAGCTTCTGCTTCTGCTTTGGATGTGGACAAGCAGCAGCTCTACTCCAAGCTCCTTCTGGATATCAGAGTTCCTCACCTCATAGCAGCCAATGAGGGGATCGGAAGGTTTGGCCAGTAACAGCTTAATTTCCTTAAAGAGTAACTAAACCCCAAACTAATATTTTTTTGCTAATTAACTGTATAATTGGGTCTTTGCAAATGCAACTGTTCTGTTTCTGTGCATTTTTTGACATGTTTGTGTAAACTTGATTAAATCTAGAATCTAGGTCTAAAAACGTCTTAGTGCTGCCCCCTGTGGCAGAACAGCGGCTACTGCATGTTGAACTTGTGATTGACTGGGGTTGGAACAATTTCACGTCATCGGTACAGTCTCTTCCCACTCCCCTTCCCTCTCAGGATGGAAATTCCCCACACTTGGCCATGCCGCTCTGTGCCTCCTGGCAACGCCCACTTTCATGGCATTTTTCAAATCCTGACTAGGGGTGGGGTTACATTTTCAGACGGAGTGCAGTCCCTCTTTAAAGAGGTCCTTCACTCATACATTTGATGCATTTGCAGTGGTCTCTTGTAGGAATGAATGACTTGTAAGTTGTAACATGACTCTACTATTGACTATGTTTGCATTACAATGCTGACGTTTTGTCTCTGGAGGACTTCTGCCGTGTTGTGGAGTTGCTAATAGGCAAGGCACCTTTATTTCTATGTATAGCACATTTCACACACACAGAGGCAATTCAATGTGTTTTCCTTTAGAAAGAACATTAAAATCAATGTGGAAAAAAAATACAATTTAAAAATTAAAAAGAAACAAAGTGAAAGGGTGAGCAGTTACAGTGCAGAAGGTGCAGCATAAAAACATTTATTCAAAGGCTGATGAAAACATGAAGGTTTTCAATTTCGATTTAAAAGTTACTAGAGTTGGGGCACATTTGAGGTCATGAGGAAGCTGATTCCACCTGTGAGCTGCATAGGAGCTAAAAGCAGCTTCACCCTGTTTGGTTCTGGCCCGGGGTTCTACCAGCTGACCGCTTCCTCAGGACCCCAGAGCCCTGCTGGGCGCGTATACCTAAAGGAGATCTGACACGTATTCTGGCCCCATGCCATTGAGTGATTTATAAACTAGAAGTACTTTGAAACTGATTCTGTAGTTTACTGGTAACCAGTAAATGCTAATGGTTAGCTTTTATTAGCCAAAACTTTCTCTGCTGTTTCCTGGACATTAAACCATCAACAGCCGTCCCCGTTGCAAGTCAAGATGGGTGAGACCATGAATGCTGAGTGACAGTGTGATGTAGATCTGTCAGGCTTTTTAAATCTGACCTATCAGAAGCTAATGAAGGAGATAAAGACTATTTTCAAAAATACCAAAGTAGAAAAATAATAGGTAAAAATTTGTTTTTCATTGTCTCTTTAAATCCCTGAAATGGCTCCTTCTGGAAGGTACTGAAAATGTCAAGAATAAAACTGAGGTCAGGTTCAATGCCGATGCGTGAAGTGATCAGTCTGTGCCATGTCCAGTGATAAATCGCACAGGGTAAGGTCTCATTCGTACTTATATCTTTACTTTACAACAATATTTAACGTTAGAACATCTCCTGAGCTCAGAAGCAGCTGCTCGACTTGACAAATCCACCATTTGCCACAGTGCCAGCCTTGCTGTGCCGAGTGGACTTCTTATCACAATGGTGCCCTTTATTGGCTGGTAGATGTAAACATAAACCCTGTGTTGTGCACGTCAAAATAAATATTTGAATACTTTTTTAATTAATATAGTTTTTAAAGATCATACTGCACGCCTCTTAAGCGCCTTGTGAAAGTATTGTTTAAAATATATAGAACTTTTTATTTAATTGTTCCATATTCAACCTTTAAGTTACAGTTAAAGAGAGAAATTTGTGACAGGAGACTGGAATTTATTTAAAAAAATATTAAAAAAAACATTTTCTAATCAAAATCAGTCAAGAAAATTGCAAATGGTGTAAGTCAGATACGTCCTTGCTAAGAAGTAGTAACAGAAGTGCCGTCTTACCGAGCTTCGGTAGGTGATCCTTGTAATAGAAGCCTCCTTGGCCATCCGATACATATTTGAGGTCTACTTTTCCTTTGTGACCCATCCGGTAGACATTGGTGGTCCCATTAGACCAGGTGACACTGGCCACGCTGCGACCAGACTCTGTGTCCCAACCGCGAATGTCCACTACCTTCCCAACCTTACCCTCCCCACCTACACACAAGTACACAGCAACAAACAAACAAAAAATATGTACAAGAAACAACATTGGATGAATTTGTGGAAGGAAAAGACAAAAGAAGGCGGTGAAGGAAAAGTCAAAGAAACAAAAGAAATTATTACATACATGAAAAAGGCAGTTGGTTTCGATGAATAGAAAGCATGCAACAAGATTATAAACTATATATTTTAAATTGTAATTAAAAAATCTACTTAGCATTCTTATCAAGGAATATTTTTTCTGCCAGAAAATTGTTTAAAAAAGCAATTAAGTTGCTTAATTGTTGAATAATCCAAACTAAACCAGTAACTTGTACCTGACATGGCTAATAAAGTCCCATATACACCAAATAACAACAACATTTATGACTGATGACCTATTGTAACCTCAGGGCTGGGACTTTAAAGGGATTAAAAGGACATTTTGACTCATTCGCTCTTAGAAAAAAAGGGAGCTCCGCTACTTTCACAGCGGCTCAGCAAACAATAAGACTTATTGGCACTTGAGTTTCCACAAAAGGAACAATCCCTTAGTTCATTTGCAATGAAATTAATATAAGACATTATCCAGAAAGTATCGATAGAACCTGAAGGGAAGGACATTACTCAACAGGACTGAGGCAACATTTTGTCACAAAACGAAACCTGCTGACACTCAGAAGCGTCACAAGCACTCAAGTACGTCGCTGCAAACGACGCTTTTCACTTTCTCCAAATCTACATGTCAGCGTTAACGTGAAGGAGCTTTTCAGATGAAGCAGGAATCAGGAAGGAGAAGCAGAAAAAACAAGCTTGTTATAAAACAAGGACTCAGTAACGGCACTGACACAAACAGGCTGGCACATCTGTGGGACAGACTCAGATGACTCACTGGCACGCACACACACACACACACACACACACACACACACACACACACACACACACACACACACACACACACACACACACACACACACACACACACACACACACACACACAGTAACACAACATTATTCAGGTTAGTGAGACGTGAGGTTAAAATGTTATTGTGGCCTTCGGAGGATGAGGCACTTTGAAAACAGAGTTCCACACTAAACAACAAAGCAGACATTGCAGAGATGGTAGCAATATGACTGAACAATTTGAATAAACACACACACACACACACACACACACACACACCGCTCACCGTCCTGGTTGCCCCAGTCCCAGTCTGGTCCACGAACCACTTTAACTCCCTGGAAGATTCCTTTGAGGATGATGCGAGGGAGGTTCTGCCTCGGTGTCAAACTCACTCTGCAACAAGAGAAGCAGCTGAATTAACACACGACTATCTGCAAGTGTGCAAAATATAACCCAAACAAAAAAACTCATACAGAGACTAAACTACAGTAAAAACAATGATGATAGCGACTATGACAATAGTGCACATGTACCACATGTGTTTCCTTTGGATATGTCAGCAGAACAGGACACACAAACAACAGACTGCAGTGACATTAAACCTGCTGAGGACTTTTGCTCTCAGATAACAATGTGACATTTAAAAGCCATTCACTGTTTAATGAGAAACCAAAAACCCGTCATATGCTTTCATATGAAACCAGGTGGACATCTGTTGAGTGCGCCTACTGAAGCACGTTGACCACTAAAGACCACCAACACAGCTTTAGAACGTACCTTATTGTGAAGATTTGATCAGATCTCGTTGCAAACGAGCTACCTATTCCCATACTTGTGAAAATGCTCAAGCCCCAGCTTCCATTCTAACCCAACAGCTCGCTCACTCACTTAAAAGCTATTTAAAATCCAGTGTGATAAATAAAAAAAAGCCTCTCTTTCTTTAAAAAAAACCTCATAGAGACTTTGTTGTCCCGACGGATCTCCCTCCTGTGCTGGAGGTTTTGCCGAACATCCTCTCAGATCCGTGGGAGCTACAGTAGAAGGCTGCAGTGCACTTGGCTTGCAGAGACAACTAACAGTAAATCTCAGTGTGGGACTGAGCTCCTGACGGGTTTGTGCGCAGCATGTTGCGTCTGAGAGGAGCTTTGAGCTTAATCCTAGACAGCAGAGCAATCAGAAAGCAGGGCATCTTCAGGGAAGTCGTAAACATCCACACCCCGTGATGTAAAAACATGTGCTCACATATTTACAAACATACAGAGCTTCTAGCATTTGGAAAAGCTCCGGTTTGTGTACAACAGACTTATATTTTTAACAAGCAGGTTTAATTCCGGTTTGCATGAAGCAGACTTGTTTTATATTTTTATGTTTTATCTCAACCAAATAACACAAGCCTGGAAGAGTTCTGCAGTGTGGTGAAGCTGCTAATGCTACCTGCTAGCTTTTACTAGCAGAGGCATTCTCTGCCGTTTCCTGGATGCTAAACCAACAACCGCCTTCCCCGTTGAGTCAAGATCGGTGAATCCACGAATGTTAAGTGACAGTGTGACACAGATCTTCCAGGATTTTCAAATCCTAGAGTTTGACCATTTATTTTCTGTCAGAAGCTAATGCATACGACAGGTGTAGGAGACTATTGTCATGTTCAGCCTGCTTGAAAAACTCAGAGTGGCCGATTATAATCAGAAATGATCATTAAAAAAATTTTTTTCGCTGATATGAAACGTTTCCTAAAACTTGGAAAAGTTAAAAGCTTGAGAACGTAAAATGACAGGTGTCCCTGTTATATGACAGAGAAACACGACCTCAGAGTTTGACGTTTGTTTTTCACCGTAGCCTCTCTTCCAGGAGATCAAGATTTCTAATCCCACTCAGGCAAATGTCAGCACCGATCACAGAAAGGATCAGCCGGAGGGGGAAAAACAACGCCTACTGACACACGGGCAGGATCGACAGTAAACGGAAGCTCCACTTTAGTGTTTAGTAACAAACTACTTGACCTACATAAGGGACAAGGACTAAAAGTGATATCTGTCAGAAAAACAAAGAGACTATCAGGTTGGGGGTTATGATTGGTATAAAATGACCTCTCAGCTTTCTTGCAAACATGAAAAAACTAACAACAAAGATCGATTTTAGACAAGAACCGAGCAGAGAAATTCCAACTCGATCGTTCAGGCCAAAGAAAATGTGGACATTTTACTAAGAACCAGCCTAAAATTAGCATCTAGTTATGAGATTAGGCCGGTTGCACCAAAAAGCAACCACCGGTCAGTGGATGGAGGCAGTTTGATGGCAGCGGCGTAACTGGATGTGCTAATAAAGGATCAGGGCACAGACTTGACCCGGTAGGGAATGCAACTGTGTTGTTTGTGTAAGGAAGAGCCGATTAACCAGCTGCATACCAACCACCGTCCTGCAAACATATGGCACAAGCATATGCTGCCATAAGCATCGTCCTGTCTGCACACAGATGTTTCCAATGCATCAGTCTACAGACAAGATGTGCTACTCTGATAGCAATCCAGAACACACATTACACTGTAAACTGTCTCCTGGATGTTCGAAGATAACAAAATGTGCCTTAAATTGATCAGCAGATCAGCATTTCATCTTTTCTAACCTTATTTGCACAACAGCAAGCCCCCATTGTTGAGTGGACATCTTCTAAGAAGTTGAAATTGCTAATCTGCACATCTGAGAATGGTAGCGTGCTAATCCATTTAAATCTGATGCAGTTACAAAGGAACACTAGTCAACAGTACATCCAGCTCATGTCTCACGCCATGTTTGTGGTGGCGATGCTACAGAGTCCTCTATTCTTATTTATAATTATTAGTTATTATTATTAACAGTTCAAAGCCCAAACTACCGTTTCCTCACAGAAATCCTTCCTGCTGCCATGCATCAAGTCACACTGATTGTGAAACAGTAGCGCCTCATGATTGCCAGAGTCTAAATGGGTCTTTTGAAATACAGTCAATGTAATTTTGAGTCAATATGGTCTGAAAATAAAGAAGCTTTGTGTTGTAGAGCACTGCAGACTGCTCGTCTGCACAGGAAGTGACTTCCACGCGATGTTCACTCCTTTACAGAGCAGGAATCAGAATTAAACCCCCGACCTCCGATCACAAGAAAAAAAACTTTTTTAGACAAACTGACAAAGCTCATGGTTCCAGCTGGATTCATTTATGTCAATTTGTTTAACAGAAAAAGTATCATTTATATCAAAGTCCTATTTGATTTACTTCATTTATAATTAATTTCACATAGAATTCATCTATACTGAATCAACTTTGCAAACATATCTTTATATCCTAGTTATGTAGATTAACTACGCTACAATACCAGAAAACAAATTAGTTTATTTTATAAAATAATGAATTAGCCAAAAAACTAAAATTACTGTTATTTCATTAATTTCATTGACATATTTATTATGTTTTTAAGAATCGAACAACTATTTATAGTTTTAGAAAAACTAATGTTCGAAAATTAAACAGCAAGGTAAGAAGTTTATGTATAAATTTTTGTTTGGTACACAAATGCACTCTTCACCTACATGGAGGGGTCTCTTTTGCAACCAGCCACTAGGGGGTTAACATTGTGTTCTGCTTTTCTTTTCTGTGTTCTGTTATGCTATTATTATACATGTTGATGGTTGAAACATCCATTCATTTTTGTCCACTTATCTACAGTCGGGTCACGGGGGCAGCAGCCTAAGCTGGGAGGCCCAGACTTCCCTCTCCCCAGCCACTTGGGCCAGCTCCTCTGGAGGAATCCGAAGGCGTTCCCTGGCCAGGTGAGAGACATAGTCCCTCCAGCGTGTCCTGGGTCTTCCTTTAGGTCTCCTTCTGCATGGACGTGCCCGGAAAACCTCACCAGGGAGGCATCCAGGAGGCGACCTCAGCTGGCTCCTCTCCAAGTAGAGGAGCAGCAGGTCTACTCTGAGCCCCTCCCAGATGACCGAGCTTCTCACCCTATCTCTAAGGGAGATCCAGTCCACACTGCGCAGAAAACTAATTTCGGCTGCTTGTATCAGTGATCACTTTGGCCACTACCCAAAGCTCATGATCATAGGTGAGGGTTGGAACGTAGATTCTTCACCACGACAGGCCGGTAAAATGCCCACATCACTGCAGATGTGGCACCAATCCGCTTATCGATCTACCGGTCGACCCCGAGATGCGTTAACTGCTCCACTTGAGGCAGGACCTCCCTAACCTGGAGGTTGAAACATACAAAAGTCAAATTGAACTCCAACAGCTGAAAAATGTATAAAATCGTTTTGAAGTTCACCTCCAGGAGCCAGATAGAGTAGATGGTACACTTTTTATGTAACAAGGGTGTATAAAACAAAAGCCGTTTAAGTACCATAGCTTTGCTGACTGACGTAGATTTTCATTCATTTTCTTGTAGATGAGCTGACTGGATGAGTCGGTCTTTTATGGCGCTTTGGACGTGTTTCAGATCATAAAATTCATTTAACCAAGAAAGTTAATGCATACGAAGACGGGTTCTATCAATGACGTCAACTCATTCACATAAGTGTCTTTTATTATTTATATTTAAATATTTGAATTATCAAAATAAGCTACGGGGACTCCAGAGTATGAGAGAATATTAAAACATTCACCTTTAAATATCAGTTTTTACATCATCAGCATATACGTTAATACCACTGTTTTTATGGATGTTCACTTAGGATTAGCTTATGCTTAACAGAAATGTATTATTGCATTCTGTAGCTAGTTACAGGCTTTAGCCGGGACTCGCATAGTAAATAATTTCTTCTCTAGGAAGCATTTAAAAAGAAACGCCATTATAAAGGTTCAACAACCTACAAACAGAAATGTAATCTGAGTTATTTCTATCTTTCCAAGTTTGGCCTGGTCTCAGTCAGGCGTTACATACCAGGGCTGAGTGGGATTAAAACCTGAAATAGCTCCGATTATAGATGTTTAACAGGCTATCCCCTTTATCAATTACAAATCAATCCTAAAAATGTGTCTTTGCTCTGAGAGATGATTCAACATGCTGTAAAAAAAATAAAACATGAACAAAAAATAAACCAGGTTTAAGTTCAGCTCTAAGACACGTTTACTTTAACTCATCCACTGTGCAGAAACATATCTAGATACATACCATACCATAACATAAAATACCATGAAATTAGAGTTTCTTTTTGCTTTATCCTAGTTGGATTCTGACTACTTTTCCATCCTCTGAAGAAAAGAGAAAATTAAAATTGGCACACACATTAAGTCACGATTCCCTCACCCATTTCCAGCTCTCATCGGACGGCCAGGCCCGGAGAAAACAAACAGAACAGCTTTGAACCTGGACCAGGCTAAACCATGGAAGAAATCTGGGTCATACATATCACCTCGTTAAAATGAGAACAGGCCATCCAGCTGACATTCAGACAGCGCCCGGAGCAGTTTGGAGCTTTACTGTGAACTGATGCAGAAGAGCAGATTCTGAAGGGACGACTCACTCCAGTAAATCTGGATATGCGGGACACTTGGAATCAGCTCACTAAACATTCATTAAATCTAGGCCACACATCTAAATAAACCCTAAAAGAAACAACAACCATTTGATTAAACGTCTCACTGCAAAACCAAACTGCTGCGCGGACTGATTTAATCAAAGAGCTAATAATTTATCAGTGTTAAGAGATTTACGTGACCTATCCAGCTCCTAATGAAGCAAAGCTTTAGTAGAAAACAAAACTCAAACCGAACGAAGAGCTAAACGTAATGTGAAACTGCCAAATGTTAAAAAGTCGGCCACCCCTTTGTAATAAGGTGTCCTTAGTAAAAAGGTAATAGAAATGTTATTAACTCATCTGTAAAACATATCATTAAAAACTGATCATTAAATATTATTAAAGGGCAAAGAAGGGACAAAACTGACCGGCTTCTTGCCAAATAATGAGCCAAATATGTTCACCTATACATTTAATCGATAATTGCTATTTGGAAAATATATTTTAATGACTATTAAACATGTAGAAATGGCAAAAGGGAGCCTCGTTGTACCACATAGTTTTAAAGAGCAAGTCACCCCCAAATCAACTGTTTTTTTCTGATAAACTATATAAATGCGTGTCTAATCGTGCTGCAGACACGTGTAGTCAATAGTTTAGCACTTTTGTGCATTTTAGTTAAAATTTAAATTTTCTGCCTGAAACTGTCAGTGTTGTGCCGTTGTCAGGTAAAAACTCTTCACTGCATTTGAATTTAAATCTACCACCGCTATTGGCTAAGAGGTATGCTATGATGTAAACTGGTACATTATGATGTCACAATGTCGTGAGTGTGTGTATTTGTTAGTGGCTCCACCCTCTCGGTCTGCTAGGCAACAGCATTTGTTGCATTTTTCAAACATGAGGTGGGAGTGAAGTACGCTTCTTGTAAGGGGTGACTTGCTCTTTAAGTAATGTCACAAGGCTTGTTTACATATTTAGAAATGCTAAATAACGCACTGTAAAGTGCCTTGGGGGTTGTAAAACCCTTGAAGGCACTATATCAAATATGGGCCATTTACCATAACAATTTGTACAAAATACTGCTAAAAGTAATGGTCGGTCCAATTGTTACAATTCAATTAAATTCAAAAATACTTTATTAATCCCAGAGGGAAATTGATTGCTGTAGTAGCTCAGAATAATAATAATAATCAAGTCATCAAAGAGTTATTGTATATTACAATGGCTGTTGGCAGGAAGGATCTCCAGAAGCGGTCAGTGTTGCAGCGAAACTGAAGAAGCCTCTGACTGAAGACACTCTTCCGTTGTCGGACAGTCTTGTGAAGAGAATGCTCAGGGTTGTCCATCATTTTCTTGATTCTCTGGAGAATCCTTCTTTGCATCATCTCCTCCAGTGGTTCTGAAACTGCCGATACTCCTTGAAAGGGCTTGGAGTTCCTCCATCTTGTTGGCCAGTATTCTCACATTGCCATAGGCGTCATTTTAACCGGGGACGCCGGGGACATGTCCCCGGCAAAATTTGTGATTGGCAGCTGTGTCCCCCCCACTTTCAAAAAAAGCCTGCCTTTATTGTCCCCAGCAATTTTTAAACCCCACTCAAGTGTATGGTTATTGTCCCCAGCAATCCTGAAAACAAACTGACACCCTTGCACATTGCCCATTATGATCGATGGAAGAGATGGCTTGAATTTCCTCTTTCTCTGTCTCCGTTTAGCTCCCGCTCTGCACCCACGCTTCTTGCGTTTTAGCTCATTTGGGATTTGTGGCTTCAGTTGAGGTATTATTTCAGCCTTTCCAATGTTAATCAGCTGCTCCCGATTGTAAACTGCAGCTTGTTGCCATGGTTACGCATCATAACAAATGCTCAAAAAGTGGAAAAAGCTAAAAAAATAGCTGTAAAAATCCTCCAAGCTTCACAGCACCAGAAACAGAAAAGTAAAGTGTCCAAAAAATACAGTTTTTCTTGAAAAACTAGAAGAAAAAATGCCCAGGAAAAGGCAAAACTTACATATAGTCAGCAGAGCTACTCCAACATGCAGCCACCCAGAGCAGCGCAGTTCCGGAAAGAGTTACAGTTGTTTACTGACCATAAATTAATGGTGCCATGTTTTACACTTTACAGTATGGCTCCCTTTGACAGTTGTTAATATTTATAAAGTAGATTATTCTATGCTAAATTATGTTCATGTTAATGTCTCAAATGTTTCAGTTGCAGGTGAAATATACAGGAGAACAGATTTGGCTCATTATTTGGCAAGAAACTGGTCTGTTTTATTGCTTTCTTAACCTCAATTAATGCTAAATAAACATGTATTAATAATTTATAAAGCGTTCAAAGATAAATATCTATACTCATATTTATGATCTAATCATTCGCTTTTAATGGCACCTCGATACTCACGGCTGGGAGTGCGCCGTCTCGTAACGTTCAAAGGGATGGCTGAGATCGTGCTTGTTGTTCATGTAACACTGAGTGCACAGGTCGTAGTCGAAGCACACCTTGCACTTCCATCTCATTCCCATGATGCCGTGCTTCTTGCAGCTGTCACAAATGATATTGGAGTGACGCACCCCTGCAGAGGAGGAAGAAGTGAAAAGGGAACGCAAAACACAAGATTTATGTTTCTATTTTTAGCTCAGAGAAACATGTCGTGTTCAAACTGCTTGTACGGCAACATTTTATTACAATAATGGCAACTAGAGGCAAAGAAACCTCAAAAAAGTTCTTGATTCTATTCTGATATAAATGATCATGAACAACAAAGAAGCAGAAACATGATGATGAAAAACAACTCTTTTGGTCCATCCAGTGAGAGGCAAGCGTCTGAAGCAGAAACGTGTTTTAAACGGAGCTAAATGCCAACGAGTCCCACGTTAAAGCGTATCATTCAGGTTGAAAATAGAACTGGATGGTTGATGATGAGAGCCTTTAAACCTGGCTCTATGAAGTCCTCATAAATGCACCCAGTGAATGAACACAAGACAAACAGGATAATTACAGCTAATAGAGAAATAAATGAGGCAACATTTTACATTTATACAAAAAAGCATAAAAGCTTACTTCATGTATTAGATATTAAAAAATATCTTCTTTTAAATAAACAAAAATTCTAAAGGACCAACGTTTTTAAGGAGGCTTTGCAGATGTCAGCTGAGATTAGATTCCCACTGCCTGCTGAGCTAACCAGCCACACAACAGTTTGCAAACCTGGTCACCTGAGCGGGGTTAGGGTTAAGGTTTCTAAGCAGAGATACTAACTAGTCCTGGGTCAGATTGTTCAAAATGTATTTGTTACGTCCCACGCTGTCCGGAATGAGCTCATGGATCAAATACGGCTCAGGAACGCCCAGCTGATGATCATTTTAAAGGAACTGTGCAACTAAAACCTTATTTGCTTCATAAAGGGTCTATTTAACACAATGTATTTGTTTATATTTGTCACAGTGATAAATAATGTTAAATGTTTTTACTGCAGCCTGACGTTGCTTACCAACTTGAGCGTTATCGTACAGCAGCAGGTCGTAGGCTCCCTGATATCCAGTACGATAGTTGGTCCGTGTGCCACTGTCCCACTGAACCACCACCGTCTTGTCCGGGGTCGTAGTGCTGCCCTGCCGACCGATCTCCACCACCGTGCCCACATGCCCCTCTCCGTCGTCCTGGTTTCCCCACTTCCAGTCAAGGCCGCGCACCACACGCATGCCCACCTCCATGCTGCCTCGGCTGGGGCCGGGCCTACAGGCTGAGGGCAAAGGCCGGAGCCTGGCAGCGCTGTCCCCTCCTCTGCTGCGCCGCCGCTGCTTCTGGGAGGCAGAGCTGGGCCGCGCCGATAGGATCGCCGGCAGAGACGGCACCAGTGTTGTCTCTGGGAACAGATCAGGGGCGACTGAAAGAGAAAGAAATCGGGAAGTGAGCCAGCTTGGATCTGTTCCTCTAAATCTCTAAACCTGTGTGCTCTTTCGCACAACCTGTGCACAGCTGTCAGCGACTGCTAAGGGATTCCACACGCCATATGTCTTATTAATTTCAGAGCAGTGTTCTTCTCTTGGCTGGTGGGTCCTTCACTGGAGGCCTCGCTGTGCGTCACGGCATACTTCTGGAGGGAGCAGCTGGACTCGACTGTTACGCCCTGCTGCCTTAATCAGGCTCTGACCTGACACAAACACACACTATACACACTCCACAACAGGACCCGCTAGCATCATCAGCCTCATTCTTCCTCTAAACATTAAACACATTCATACAGAGTGAACCTTAACCAAAGAAATTCGCCTGTTTTAACTTTTTATCATGGTCCAACCTTACTTGGTGTCATACTACAGATGCCGAAGGAGAACTCCACCCTACACATCAGCCTCTGAGCCATCTTGTTGCTACAATACGTCTCCCTTAACTAAATATTTATTACAAACCACTTCTCCCATCTTCTAATACAGACTTTTTCTACCTGACAACAAACCTGAAAGAGAAATTCACTCTAAGCAATGTGAGCTAATAACTTCAGAGATCTAGAACTTCACAGGGCTTCTGTCAAGCGTGCGACTCTCGAAAAGAAGAATTAACTAAGCCTCCAAAGAGTATCACAAAGAAGGCTCAACATCTCACTTTTCACAGCCATGACTGATGCACCAGAGCTTTGTAACGAGTGTGAAGAGGACAAAAAAGGAAATAAAACTGAAAGAAAGGAGGATGTGGAGGCTTGAGTCAGCAAATACGAAACAAAACTTCTGCTGAAGAGCACGATAATCTAATTACGCTCATTAATCATAAAAGACACATCTGAAATCTTTGTTCACGGACAACTGTAGTGTTCTGCCTCTACTATGCACAAAAATGGTTCGTTAATGCTGAGATGTCAGTGTAATAATACAAACAAAAGCTTAAAGTTAAATATCAAGCATGCAAATGTACAAAAAATCTGTTGTTTCCTCCATAAGGTACTGCACAAAAGTCTGCCGGCACTTTGAAAATTTTGTTTTTCTCCACTTTAATGTTGCTGCATCAACTGAGCAGCAAATTCCTGTTACAACCATCAGGGACGAACGTAGTTAACTGGTTAATTGTCGTTAAAGTTGTAACCAGGTAAACTAGCTTTGCCCAGTTAACTGCTTCAAGTTCTTCTGCTGCGCTGGGTGCAATATATTTTGTGCCACCAGAGGGAGCAAGAGGGCCGCTGTCGAATATGTTTCCTGGGCGACCTTAAAAGAAGAAATGAGCTTGTTACGTGACCAAACAAATGCGCTCAAACATGAAACGGTTGACAGCAAGGCAGCGTTGGAGCCATTTATTAGTCATTTAATTCTTGGGACACAATAAGCCTCGCATCAAAGCGCAAAACGCAGCAAACTGAACCAAGACCTGCAAAAGGTCAGTGTGCCGTGCTGCTCCTTGTGTCTGAATCCTAACTTGTCTAGTAAAATAAAGAAACACCAGTGTAAATATTAAGTTAAATGTAAGAAAACAGTTTTTTTAAACCGGGGTCTCCAGAATGTGCTGTGGGGGGGAGGGGAGTTTTTCCGATTAA